TTGTACCTAAATAACTATAATATAGATGAGAGCATGTCATTGTTTTGTTCCTGTTAACATTATTGATATTATCCAAGACAGTCTATGAGGCATAGCTTATGCATGAATTATAGTTATCTCGTACCATTGTAAACTCGTACCAATGTCAACTCGTACCACTAAACAAAAACTCGTACCAATGCAAACTCGTACCACTGCTAACTCGTACCACGGTAAATTCATACCATTGTAAACTCGTACCAACTTATTTAAATGCATTAAAATGGTGTTTAATGATGAATATATACTTTAATTTCACTCAATACCTCTTAAGTCTGTAAAATGTATATAATTTGAAATTACAATAACCAATTTGTAGCTAATTTTCCTTTTCTAATTGGATAGAGAAAACCGTGGCAGATTGGCTTTGTTGTCTCCCTTGAATAGACTCTTTTTTAAACTTTTACTGACAACTATTTGATTTAATTTTTAATCATTCCAAATCAGTAACATTGAATAGATTTGGGTATTTTTCTATTGTTTCTAAAAGGAATTTTATTTAATGAAAGAATTTATTGATTGTGTTTTAAAGGTTTAAAATTGTTTATGACCAACAGTTAGAAAGTATGAAATTTATTTTTATACAATATTCAGCACATTTCAGCAGAATATGACCATGCTTATATGATTATACAAGTTGATTAGTTAAAGATAAAAAAAAACAAGTTGATTAGTTAATAATCAACCAATAATCACACAATCAAAGGAATTTAATATATTTATTAGCATGGTAATTAAGAAATTACATTCGTATTTTTGTCTAAGTTTTCATTAAAATCTGGTATAAATTTCAAAGATATTTTAATTTTTTGTATAAAGCTTTAAAAAAAAATAATCATAAAACATTCGTATTTTTGTCTAAGTTTTCATTAAAATCTAGTATAAAATTCAAGTAATTCAACTTTTTTTATTTAGTTTACCAAAAAAAAAAATCATAAAACATTCGTATTTTTGAATATATTTTTAATGGTACGAGTTTGCAGTGGTACGAGTTCTGATTGGTACGACTTCCCAGTGGTATGAGTTTACGTTGGTACGAGTTAACTTTTTTGGTACGAGTTTACGTGGTACGAGTTTACAATGGTACGAGTTAACTTGCTTCCTTATGCATTCCTGTCATTACTACATTAGCATAATTACTGCTAAAATAATTCTCAGTATGATATACCTCTTGTAAGAAATCATTATAATTGTAGCAATCACCAAAAAATCTCAAACAGATCACATTGAATCGTAATCCAAAAAATTATGACGTCTTGAATTAACCACCCCCTTTTATTCTAAAACGATAATTGCGGTTGTAAACAGACTTTGGTTTATTCGCATGGCGATTACATATATAACTATATATTTCAAAAAGAAAATAGAGTTTTACCATGAATAGTTTCCTGCACGTAGTCTTTTTCAGTAAAATGTGCCTTGCAAACAACAGCTGATTGAGATGGACTCCACGATTTCATCGTGTTCTCGTCCAATCTGCGTATGGGCCATGGCGTTGTTCCAACTTTTCCTTCTTTTTAAGTCATTTGGAAATGCATGTCCTCCTCTTAAATGACATCCAGGTACACAACAACAAGTACTTGGCATCGTTAATTAAAAATGTAACTGAAATAGTTGCACAGTGCAGAAACCGGAAGTTGAGGAACAGGATCGGCTACCACGGCGCCACCTATTCAGGAACGATAATTTGCTACTTTATATAACTGCGAAATAACAATAACGTTAGACGGGTTCACGTGCATAAACAGAAATGCGCTTTAAATTGTACAATATAATTCATGTTCAGTCGACCTTTAATTATTATATCAACGACTGAAATGATTTATAAACATATAGATTGCAGATAACACTCGAAATTAACCCGAGCTCTTTCCACACGGAATTCAAATAATTCTAGTTTGTCAATCGGTTGACTGCTTATAATGCAAAATACAAATATATCAAAAGTTTTTAAAACTAACAAAACACAATGATCGTTTCTCTATTTCCCAATGTAAATGAAATGAAACAAAAAACATTTTATATCACAATAAGAAGAGGAGAGAATTCAACATTTCCGGATCTACTTGGAGCCTAACGACCCCCCACGTAGATAAGTTGGATATCGCGGAAGGAAGGATTAACCCGGCAACTAGAAAGGCATTAAAGAACTGCCTTTAAAAATTACTTGATATTTAGAAGAAAATAAAAATTTTGCAATTTTTCCATTTATAAAGGGGCATAACTCTAGAACGGTTAAAGTGACGCCACCAAAATTCAAACTTGATCTGTGTTCTGTGGTAATAAGCAGTGTGTATAAGTTTCATAACATTTGGTTGAGGCAAACTTAAGTTAGAGAACGGAAACTAAAAATTTTGCAATTTTTCCATTTATAAAGGGGCATAACTCTAGAACGGTTAAAGTGACGCCACCAAAATTCAAACTTGATCTCTGTTTTGTGGTAATAAGCATTGTGTATAAGTTTCATAACATTTGGTTGAGGCAAACTCAAGTTAGAGAACGGAAACCAATTTTGGGACGTACGCACGTACGTACGGACGGACGGACAAGGGTAAAACTTAATGCCGCTACGGCGGGGGCATAAAAATACATATAATTATACATTACACATGTAGAATAGACGATAGAGATGGCGTGTTGTATCATTTAATTTGAAGCATCAACGACGAAAGCAACGGTTAACTTATTATTCACGTGTTATTTGAAGCATCATTAAATGATACGATATTTAGTCACATCAATTGTTAAATGATAAGTACTGGTAGTCATATACGTGTAAAATGATACTTGGTCACATTACATGTAAAATGATATTTAGTCACATTACTTGTAAAATGATACTTGGTCACATTACATGTAAAATGATAATCAGTCACATTACTTGTAAAATGATACTTAGCCACAACACATGTAAAATGATATTTAGTCACATTACATGTAAAATGATACTTAGCCACAACACATGTAAAATGATAACCAGTCACATTACATGTAAAATGATAATCAGTCACATTACTTGTAAAATGATACTTAGCCACAACACATGTAAAATGATATTTAGTCACATTACATGTAAAATGATACTTAGCCACAACACATGTAAAATGATAATCAGTCACATTACATGTAAAATGATAATCAGTCACATTACTTGTAAAATGATAGTTAGTCACATTACATATAAACTGATACTTAGCCACAACACATGTAAAATGATATTTAGTCACAATACTTGTAAAATGATACTTAGTCACATTACTTGTAAAAAGATAATCAGTCACGTTACATGTTAAATGATACTTAGTCACAACACATGTGAAAAAAAACTCATCAATGATACCAATCTAGCTTATATTGTTTTGTACGCCAGACCCGAGTTTCGTCTACAAAGGACTCATTATTGACGCTCGAATAAATAAGTTAAAAAGCCAAATCAAGTGCGAAGTTGAAGAACATTGAGGATCCAAATTTCCGAAAGGTTTTGCCAAATACAGCTAAGATAATCTATTCCTTTCTACCACAGGCTGTGGTAGAAATCTTTAGTTTTTCGAACAATTCGAAGTTTTGTAAACAGTTTATTTATAAATGTAACCATATCAATGATACTTCATGTCAACACAGAAGTGCCAACTAAAGGGTTGGTGATAAACTCGGGGAGGAAACATCGACCAAGTGATTGTTTAAAAGCTCAAGATACCGGCCATATAATTTTGTACGCCAGACGCGTGTTTCGTCTACAAAAGACTTTATCAGTGAAGCTCGAATCAAACAAGTTAAAAGGCCAAATCAAGCGCGAAGTTGAAGAGCATTGAGGACCCAAAATTCCGAAAAATACAGCATAGGTAATCTATTCTTGGGGTAGAAAATCCTTAGTTTTTCGAACATATGAAAGTTTTGTAAACAGTTAATTAATAAATACGAACATATCAATGATATTTCATGTCAACACGGAAGTTCTGACTATACTAGGCTGGTGATATTCTCTATGAGGCGCCGTTTTACTATTTATTACCTATTTTCTGATATCAAAAAATGATTTTCTGATATCAAAAATTCTATTTTTTGATATCAGAAAATCGATTTCTTGATATCAAAAAAGGCAATTTTTGATATCAAAAAATTGAATTCCTGATATCAAGAAATATTTTTTGATATCAAGAAATATTTCCTGATATCAAAAAAATCATTTTTTGATATCAGGAATTACATTTTTTTGATATCAAGAAATATTTTTTGATATCAGAAAATAAGGAATAAATAGTAAAACGGCGCCTCATAATTCTCGGGAAGGAAATATTAAAAAATACAGAAATGAAGACTCCCCCTATCCAGACCTTCATGTATGCACAATTCTTTTGTATTTACTCATTAAAAGATGACTTGAAACTTCCTTGGAGAGCATACTTAGTTATGTGTACAAAGCGTTTGAATTTCTGAAGAGGTGACTTGAAATTCTCGTTGAAATTACAGCCACAACGCGGCACACCATGTTTAACACGCATCATACTATGATATATTCTGAATGGGGAAAATTAACGGTTTTTAGTTCAATGAATGATAAACTTGTATAAGTTTATACTTAGTCACATGGTTAACAGTTCAAATATAATGTCCAGTTATTTAAAAACATATTTTCTTTTAGAAATTGGTGCGGGAACTTCAAAGAAAATGACATCCACAGAAAGTCGGATTAACAAACAATATTATAGTTACAAGTATTACATATATTTATATCATGTATCCTCTCATAAAACTATTTTCTTTCTTTGTATATTAACATATTTGTCGTGTCAATGTGGTCATTCAACCATCCTATAGCATACCTTTACTGTTACGACCTATTACGGTCTATTGCACTTTAAGGAAAACAATTAAACATATTGATTTAGAGAGTTTATGAATGGTTTTAAAATAGATAATTGTAGATAAAGTTTAACCTTAATAAAACATGTGTAGCTCACCTGTCAAACATGCCGTCATACTCCACACCGAGACGGGTACATCGTAAACTGTTTACTTTGAGGCCCTTGCAAGACTTCACGGGATATAGATAGAGTTCTGAGACTGTCCCAACACATTGATATGATCGTTTGGACATATAAATATATGCAGCATACTTGAAAAAAGATGTGCCAGCCAGTGCTAAAAGTATATTGTCCATGCTTAGTCTTGACGTGTGATAAAAGGAATGTTTACGTTTTACCCGTAATAAAATTCAGTAAAAGATAACTCTAGACAGTTTTATACCTATAAAGGGGAAATAATCGAATTTCAATTCGATATTTTTTTTCAATATTTTATTGGAAAGAGCACACTATAGAGGCGTGATCCAAATACAGATACACTCATACCACATCTTCTCATTTATATATAACGTTAGTTAACAATTACATCTATAACAAATAAAATACATGAAAAAAAAAGTCTTATAAGTTTACATTTGGAATATAAGTAATAAATGATTCCTTATTATGACTGATATATTTACAATATTGTGATTATCAATAATGTCAATCAATTGTAACTGATTGTGTGCCCTTTATATACATTGTATGTATGATAATTTTTATATTTATATATATAATTCGTCTCAAATTTAGCCCAACAATGTTAGATATGCAAATTTGCGTTAGCAAATTTTTGTTCTTCCCTCAGCGAGATTCGAACCCTTGCTTCTGTGACATCGTGGCAACACCGCCTGCACTGTATTTATATATATGTATGTATGCAATACAGTGTCTATATAGGATTGGTATCTGGTGAAACATCATCATGTTATGTATATGAATGGTCGTATGTGTTTTATGGTAAAGTCGTGAGAGTTGTGTCCCTTTGTATAATGATACATATTTGTCATGTGATGTTATCTGTCTCTGAGATAAACTTGCTGTGGAAATAGATGTGTTTTTGTTGCTCTTAAGCAAATATAACTTTAGCGGCATGGGGAGGCAAGTATATGTCCCCCATGTACGTAATATGGTGGAGGACTTCAAAACGACCCCTTTAAGTGTATTTTATGTGAGCTATCCCAAAGATGATGAATCAACTTTCTAAAAGTCTAGAACACGAGGCTGGCGGCGCCATAATTTATTAAATTTTGACTACGTTAAAATCTTGGAATTTTCCTTCAGTAGAGTATAGCAGTACCATGCATTTCACACTGGCCGGAACCGATTGTAGGATTTTATGTAAAATTTGGATGTTAATTTGGATTTAGCCAATATTCAGAAGTCAACATGGGAGTTTTTCGTCAACAAAAGAAAACTGTACATTTTTTTTTTGTAAAATTCTAAGAACTGTTATTAAACTACATGCATATTAATATCGAAAGCTTTTCGCAATTGTTCATTATTTGTCATCTGGTCGTTAAAGACTCTTTAATGTTTCATTTGGACTCTGTAGAAATTTCTACACAAAAAACTTTTAACCGCATTGGAGTTGGACATCAAGAAATACAGCTGTGTATGTTTATGTGTGCAGAAAACTGTAGCATGTGTCATGTGATGTCCCGGCCTATCATCTTACAAATCAAATCAAATCAAATCAAATCATTTTATTGGTGTAAAATCCAAATATTGGATTGTTACCAAGACAAACATGACAATCATTACAAACATACAATGTTTAAATTTAAACAACATTCATATTCTATAAGACTATATTTAGATGTTTTGGAGGAGGTGATACTTTTGCAAATTTGAAAGTGCAAGTACAAAAATTATTATGCAATTGTTATAAAATATATCATAACAAATACTATAAGAAAAATATAGAATAGTCACAACTTTGTTACATCGACTAGTTCTTCTGATCAGCTAGGCTATTTCTTAAAACATATAAATCATTAACTCCCTTGACAATAATTTTAGTTAGTCATACTCATTAAACATAAATGCAAACTTTTCCTCATCAGACATTTTGGTGAAATCTGGAACTATACTCTCTACTTCCTGAAAAAGTTTTTGCCTACATTCTTCTAAAATTTGACATTTTAAAGCAAAATGATATTCATCTTCTACCTCCTTTTTACAGAGAGGACATAATCTTTTTTCCAAAGGTAATTTACGGTGTCTACCCTGTTCAATATTTAGATAACTATTACTTATTCTTATTTTCTTACAGTACTTCGAAAATAATTGCTTAGTAATTGGCATTATCTTTAGTAACTAATCGGCTTGACCTATATGTGTATTTAGGATTTAGCAGGGAAAATATGTAACAGTTTTGAACGATTTAGATTCTACTACAAAGATGCCAGACGGTACGTGTGAGATTTATCTCGTCGTACACTCCCAATTTACAACATTGTACAATGAAAACACGGAATTTTTTCAAACATTAATACTGAATTCAATTTTGTCTCAAGTTTTTTTTTAATGAATTATCTGGTATGTGTGTATCCAGGTTTATACATCAAATTTCTGTAAACTGATTGGACAGCGGATTGTCAGTAGCGATAGGATAATAGTCATAAATAGAACCTAGGTTGATATTGACATTTCTGGAGCTTTTCATTTGTTTCATATTTATTTTATTTTGTGAGTGTGCAGTATGAAAGATTGGCCATGTTGGAGAGGGAGAATTAGTCGTATTTTCTTTTACTGACATATGTAACTTATGAAGTGTTTCATTGATGTAATATTAACCATTGTTAAAAGTTAAAGGTCTTTGATGATTATCTATCAATTTGTTGTATACAGCTACATTTATGACAAAATTCTAGTATTTTCCATTTAGTAGATTGAGTAAATGTATCAAATGCATATTTTTTTAAGTTCATGTAGTTGAATGAACGAAATGCGTGCATAAGGTCCTAAGGGGGAGATCGAGATGCCAGACGTTCGGATTTTTCTGCATAGTTGATACTTGTGTGTATGCCAATGGATACTAGATGTGAGAACTGGTCAGCCACCAACAGTTCAGTTTTTATTAATGTATAATTTACAAAGATTATTTGGAAACAGATTTTTGTCCTACACGGAATTGATTATATAGTTTGAATTTATAGTGCAATTTTTCTTCTTCTTGAAATTGTATATGGATAAAACACATACACCTTTTGGATAAAATTTGGGAAATTTTCTTTTTGGGGCGGGGATGTTATGTATATGAATGGTCGTATGTGTTTTATGGTAAAGTCGTGAGAGTTGTGTCCCTTTGTATAATGATACATATTTGTCATGTGATGTTATCTGTCTCTTTGAGATAAACTTGCTATGGAAATAGATGTGTTTTTGTTGCTCTTAAGCAAATATAACTTTAGCGGCATGGGGAGGCAAGTATATGTCCCTCCCCCCCCCCCCCCCCCCATGTACGTAATAATCAGGTGGTCCCTAAAATCAATAGCTTCAATTTCAATTTGAAAGTAGATAGCAGTAACGTTTGGTTTGTCAAGTTTTGTATGGAGGTCAATGCTAATGTGATTTTATATTTTTCCATTATTTTTTTCATGAAAGGAAAACTTAAAGATATTCAAAGAAATATAAATTCTTCTAGTTAGAAAAGGACAAAAACAATTAAGCATCGAAAACTAAAGTGAAAGTACGCCATAACCTCTTTTTAAAAGTTCTAAATATATCGGATTTATATATTATTTTTTTCATTTTTCCGAATCCCTATATTTCTGTTGTATGTTAGGCATTTGTACACTTCTGAAAAATAAAATAAAATATTGTTTAAACTAAAATGTTTTAATAGCTTTTAATGACGTCAAAGGCAGTTGTTATACCAATCTAATTAAAATTTAGATCTATAGGAACTCGAAATCAGAGATCTATATATTTTATTTAGGTTGATTTTATACAAAACGGCTGCAAATTTTGCATGGTTTTGTAATTTTTATGTCGGAAAACAATTACTCGAAAAAATCTTTGTGTTACATGTAGTTTTGGGCAATCTTTATTCATTTATTGTTTGTTTTCAATGTTCAGTAATAGGACTCACCTTTGTTATAATCTCAACGCACACACAAAGGATAAAGCTACTCTAATTGAAAACGACCCTACAGTGTAAATTTTAATAAATTAGTTCAATCTCCTGCCAACTACAAACCTTTTTCGGTTCTATTGGCACTAGAAATTAAGAACATGAATTTCTAATACATAAGGAGAAAACAGGAATTACCACAAAATTTCGTTAGGGGTTCCGCGGAACGCTGTGTTTCGCCTACGATTGCTGCTGTCAGTGTAAACGTGCAATGTTGACTTAAAAAGGGAGTCCATTTATCAGTAAAAAATACAGAATTAAAAAGAAAATTCAAACTTTCTCTTTAGATGCTATTTCTTGGTCTTGAAGATTAGCTTCTGTCCAAGTTTCATAATAATCCATGAAGGTAAACAAACTGATCATGTCAAAAAAATTTAATCCCAAACTGTCTGTAAATGTTCACTGTAAAAACACTAAAGTCCATCTATCAAAAAAATACTGAAAGTGAAAATATATTTTCTAAAGTTTGCTTCAGACATAATCTCTTAATCATAAAAAAGTTTCATAAAATTCTGTGACGGTTTGACAAAGTATTTGATGTGTCACAAACTTCAATCTAATTAAAATATAGTTCTCTGATTTCGCTACACTTCATACTCGATATAGCGAAATCAGAGAACTATATTTTAATTAGATTGAAAAAACTTTACCCCCAGTCTGTATCTACTTATTAAATGTAAAAAAAACTAAGTCCATTTATCAGTAAAATATTTTCAAAATTTTGCTCTGGATACTGTATTTTGGTCATTAACAAGCTTCTGTCCAAATTTCATGAAGGTTTGACAAAGTAATTGATGACTGAAAAACTTTAATCTCAGACTGAATATGAATGTTAAGTGTGAAAAAAACTAAGTCCATTTATCAGTATAAAATGCGAAAAAATGAAAATAAATAATTTCAAATTTTTTCTCTGGATACTGTATTTTGGTCACAAACAAGCTTCTGTCCAAATTTCATTAAACTCCATGAAGGTTTGACAAATTTATTGATGACTGAAAAAAACTTTAACCACAGACTGAACCTAAATAATGACGCCGCCGACTACGGAATCTAGGATCGCTATCATGTCTCGCTTTCGCGACATAAATGTCGCTGGCTCGACAAAAAGGACAAACAGTTGACTCCTTATAAAATCCACAAAATAAGGTCAAGGTCAAGGTAAGATGCTGTTAACGGTTATGTCTATGTATTGTAATGTGTATATATATATAATAGGCACACATCGTCTTCAGCT